ATGATAGTTCTAGAAACGTTGCGTCACAGTAGTCATGTGACTCGATGACGCAACAGTACTACACAGAAAAAGATCTACAAACAAGTGCATTGCAACTTGGTGATAGACAGTAAAATATTCCATCTTATTTATAAAAGAATAGTTGATCTAACCTACGATCAGTCAATTGAATTAGATAATTATCTTCAATAAAACAGTGACTGAATAAGGTTATGTTAAAGTCTAATCTACATAAAAACCAGTGTGCCACGTTACATCAATCTTGATTTCTCAAAATAGGAGTCATAAAAGCCAAAATGCATTTATCCAGATATAATAGTTCGATTACTGTCTGTCCATTACGATTTTAGAGACAGGGTGAAAGGGGGCCGTGAGGGGATGCCGTGAAACCTCATAAGTGTAATGAGTGTTGGTATAATAAGCCTGAAGTAAAAACGTAGTATAGGATCACCTAGCCGAGAGCCAAGTGCATAAAAAAATTATCACGAAAGTAAAAATATCGATTCAATTTCAAACTTAAATCGTTTCTGAATTAAGCCATTTTCTGTTATATCACCAACGTTTTAAATAAAAAACAAACCTATTTAATTAACGGAGACTCTAAATTAAGAAATCAACAAATATTTTTCCAGTTTTGTCGTCTATGCATTTCATTTTACACTTTCAGTACATAGACTGACTACAATAGTAAGTTATACTTTTTGTTGCTATGCAACATTATATAAAAGCCATTATTAGAAAGTAGTGTCACCAAAACACACTGGCTTTTCTATATTAAACTAACTGATTTTTACCAATAATTATGGATACGCCACGAATTCATTTCATGAATGATCTTAATTTTGATTGGCTCAAAAAGGAATTTGCCAACGTTTCACTGCCTCCAGTGCACTTTTCTACCCCTTTGTTAGTCAAGTTTGATTTTGCAAAATGTATTATTTCAGGTTGGGGTATACTATGGGATGGGGGCGGTGGTACTTGCCCCGTCATTTTTGACGGGCTATATGCTAGTATACCAATAATTGGTATAGCTAACCAATATGGTTTGTGTGCGCGTGCAGATTCTCAAACAAAAGAAAAGGAAGAAGCACAATTTTTTTTCTGATTTTTCCAGGTTTTGGAATATTTTTTTCAGTTTCCCCTAACTTTTTGATCTTTTTTAAATTCCCTGAATTTTCTAGGTTCATGATCACTCCATATAAGATAAATATAATGTTCAAAAAAAGCTTAACAATGGCAGATAAATTGGTCATATTGCCTCCAGAAAAGTAACTCACCGAGCCCAATTCTTCTTGAAGTTGCCTGATCTGAGCATCCTTTAAGCCTAATTGGGCGCACAGAGCCACTGAACGTTCTGCTTCGTCTCGAGCGTGCTTTAAGATGTTCCATTTTTCACGTTCACATTCTTCTTTTGCCCGAACCAACTGATGTGGAAAAAATATTGCACAATTAGATAGTTCATTAATCTGAAATGTCTCATTAAGGTGTGTCTTAGGTTTATTCGTATTGTTGCGCCCATAACAGTATAGATTTTATATCTCTCTTACTGAATAAATCTGTAGAATATACAACAGACGTCCTGAAATATCACTTGTAAATTGTACGTTACTGTGAAAGAAGAGAATAAACGAAAACTGTTTTAAATACATTCACCGTACACGTAGGTTTTTTTTTTTTATCTGAATATCTCATAAACAAGAATGCTGCTTAAGTTAACGTTCATAACAGAAAAATAAACGGTCTTGCATGTGATCTCATAAATGAGCTTCATTTTAACAGAGAACTGATCTTAGTTAAGAAAAATAACCTGTTTAAGTCCCTCTTCGCTTTCTTTCATTCTTTGTTCATAGTTTCGGATGAAATCCCTCAGTTCATTTTCCTTGTCTTCTAGAGTACCGTACAACTGTTTCATTTGATTCAACAGATCGAACTTTTCCGCCTTTAATCTCTTGCGGTCTTGTTTCAAAGCTGGTTTAACAATAAAATATGTTTGATTAGTTTAGATAATTACCATTACATACTAGAAAATCAAACCAGCCAGTTCAACTAATCTCAGAAGAATAAAACGTTTTTACAACGTTGCCTGAACTAACAACATCTTAACAAAAGTACCAAATGTGTAAACAAGTCGTTAAACTCCATAATTCCATACAAATCTCGTAATATCACGTCCAGTTGTTACGAGCGTAAAACTAATAAAAGTTCCACTGGATTTTCTAAAAAAAATGAATAACTTTAACTAATCTATATATTCAAAATTATATTCATTGTTTCCAACATATAAAAAGAAAATCAAGTAAAACTTTGGAACAACAAAGAATAAATAGATCTAAGGAATAGCATATGAGCTGACACGAGTCCATGCTTCATCAGTCTGTGTTTAACGCGAACTTTTTAATCGCTTCAGACACAGGTAGTCGAAGGAACACAAAGCTAGATTGCTTCTTACAAGTAAAGTAGTCCCTCAGAGTTAATTACTATTTGAAGCGTAACTATTTCAATCTATTTTTCCCTCTTTCAATAATAAAAATAAATAATGTATTGTCTTCACGGCTACCTTCCCCTGTGAATCGATGTGTACAATATATGTCCAGAGGAAGTAATGTGGTTGCTTTTAAGATTTTTTTCTTGTTGACGTCTAATTACCAGTTACAATTTTCTGCAGAACTCGAGGCCTATATAACACTGTCGGCCATCATTAGACACCAAATAGATGTCATCTGGTAAGAAAGCACAATTACAAAAATGACTAACAGATCCATCAGAGATCACCAAGAGGAACCTAATATTCTAAGAATAAAAACATACAAGACTGCATAAATATATCTGTAAGTCACAGGGTCGGTATGAATGCAGCTTACTCCCAGTAAACCCATCAATTTAACAGCTGGTGATTCGTTAGTAACTTGTCAGGAAAATAAAATTACCAAAGAGAAAATCGTGCTACGTTTTCTAGCTGACTATAATAAGGTTTTTGTAGTGTAATACTTTCGGGTGTGACTAACCTCCTAGACCAACTCTCATTTTTTTTCATGACAAATCTCGAGCTCGTAATTTGAATTCATTCTTTGAACACAGTTGGTATCTGCTGTATTGGGCAATAAGTAATTTAACTGTATTTTCCTCATCCAGTGTCATTAATGACACTGAATTCAATTTATATAACATGTATATATTTTTGTAAAACAATCAACAGAGGTTACTGACGAGTTAAAATGCTGTGTTCTCTATATCAACGTAAATTGTTCTGTTTTCCACAGAAAATTAAATATAAATACAGGAATGACAATTGTTTCAATGTAAACATTAACGAAACATCCGTAGATAGGTGATGATGAAAGAGAAGTGATTGATTTCAAAATCCAAAGGAAATATATACCTACGCGTAATATCTACTATAAGCATTTTAGTTTAAAACAAACAATAAATATATCCCACCTGCAAGTGCTTCTTTAGCGTGTTTCAGTTCGTTTTCTAACCACTGAGTCTGAGGCCTTAACTCTTCCTCTTGCGCATGCGCGTTTTCTTTATAAACTCGTAACTCTTCTAGCTCCCTCTGGAGAGATCGATTTTCTTCACCTAGTCTGCGATTTATATCTTCTTGTTGACATAGTCGTTCTTCCAGTTGATTAGTGTCTTCGTGTGTACAATCTGTACATATTATATAATAAACTTCAAAAACATTTCTTAATTCCAGAGCACTATATAGTTGAAATATCATGTACTACAATATAGTTATTACAACGCACAAAATCGCAACATGATTCTTTTAATGGCAAGAGTAAAGCCGTATGAGTAATCGGCAATATAAGAGATTTTCTGTTTTGGAAAATATATATTTTTGATACTTATTATGACAAATTTGTGTAAATTTTTGTGCATTTGTTACGTTAAGTAGTTAAAGGATAACACATATACATTTGATGGAATATATATTCTTATGTTGAAGAGTAAACTACGAATGCTTAATATGTTATCCAGTACATTTGTTTTAATACTACTGTCTTGGACAATAATATTGTGTGAATATTCAGTATGATGAAGCATAACTTTAAATGAACATCCATAAATTTGGAGAATAAAATTGTGTCAGTAATTACCATGTTGAACACTAAATTTGTATGAATATTTACTGGGCTGGATAGTAATGTTGTATGAATAATCTATATGATGGAGCATGATTTGGAATGAATATTTGGAGAAGGATTTTTGTGGACAGCTCCAGCATTTTGTTTGTAGCCGACAACGTTTCAGACTCCATCCCTGGTCCTTCTTGAGCTATGGAAAGTTAATTTTTCATTATGGTATTTATAATGATATGGAGCGCGGTAATAGTCAGAATGAATATTGTAACTTTGAAGAGTAAAATCAATAATGTTCAATAGTAAATATTTGTATTTAATTACCGAGATATACAATAAAACCATAGAAAATTACGCGACCATTCGCTGTAGTCTGTCGTTGCATAAAATACGATATATATCAGTGTTACAGATTGTCACCCCACTGAGATTTATATTATTTTATGAGTGAAAATGATTTGGAATAGTGTACTTATGTGTACAGATTTTATACTTTTTTCACTTTCCGGAGGAAAGTTTAAGGCTATTTAGCTTTCCAGATATATTTAGCACCCGGACTTTCTTCACTTTTCAGTAGGCTTAACTGTAATATAAAATATTCCTAAACTGTATATCTCAGCAGGTAACGATATAGGTTTTTGTTTGTTTGTTTTGAAGTTAGCGCAAAGCTACACGAGATCTGTCTGCGATAGCCGTCCCTAATTTAGCAGTGTAAGACCAGAGGGAAGTCATCATCACCTTGGGCTACTCTTTTACCAACGAATTGAGAGTTACATTATAACCTCCCCACGGCTGAAAGGACGAGCATGTTTGATGGGACGGGGATTCGAACCAGCGACCCTCAGATTGCGAGTGGAGTGCCCTTTTTTGCTCTTTATTAACCCCCCCCCCCTCATAGAGGGGTGTAAAAAAACATACATCAGTTATTCAACACATCTCATGACAATGTCGATAGAAATCTGTATAGTAATAAAAAAAATAGTTAAGGTTAATTACTCAAATTACATAGAAAATTAGTAATAACAAACCACCTGGCCATGGTGGGCCATAGGTTTTTGTCACCGAAAGTTTCATTAAATGTCTTCGTAACACAATTAAACCCGAACCTAAATTTAGCTAGAAACTTGAATAACTTCAAAGTCTCTGTTGAAATGAAAGAACATAAAGGTAGACGGGTGCATGCACACCCAACAACAAAGATCTCCATAAACGTTTTCATTTGATTGTTTTTGTTTGTTTTTTTCCATAGTCCTTGCGGACCGTCGAGCCGATGGCAGAGCATCTGCCATCGTTTCTAAAGCTGTTTCTTACGTCAAGGATGCAACCCACTTGACAGCCTTCCCTCTTTGAAAGGACGAGCATGTTTGGTGGGACTGGGATTCATTTGCTTAAGTGTCCGTTTTGTCTCTAGTTCCACCGAAACCGTAAGATAACACACATTTAACAGCGAGTGAATACTTTGTTTTACATCCCAAATGACTATTTTCCCATGACACGCCAAATACACAAGGTTAGGTAACTACCACTGGTATTAGATATTTATTAATCTCCAAAATCTGACAGTCCAATGATGGATGTGCCATAACGGTATTAAAAACGCCTCAACGACAAGTACTAGTCAGACGAGTTTTGGAATATAGTGAAGTTTTTAATAAATCAGCGTTTGCTAAAGAATGCGCTCAGCCGTGGTTTATTACAACAATTCGAAGATCCGACAGGATAGAAAATGGTGTATTACTCACTGGTAAAATCCGAAAGGGTAATATAGATGGCGTATATTAATTTTTTATTGAATAATGATGGTGCTTACTTTTAATCAATATATTTTTATTTAGTCTCTTTAAATACATGGGACTTTTATGAGTATTTTTTATTAGAATAAATAAATTTTGTATTTTAAAAGTTATTCATTTAATGATGGCAGATATTCTGGAGGGCATTCAAAACGTAATTAGGAAAAGTTTATGTGTCTTCCTTCTTTGATAATTTCTTAAGGTCAACAATGATCTTAGGTGTCATCAACGTTATTGTGTAACAGTATTACTTCTGTCTAAAACTTCGTTAGCTTTCGATTTGTTTATACTCAAAGAAATTAAAAGATCTGTATGGTTGACAAGATTATACAGACGATACTAAGAAAATAGAAAACAGCTGAAAATGCATTTCAGGGGAAATATCGATACAAGTTTGCAACGAAATGAATTAGGCTAGGTGTAATTTAGATAAGAAAATCAAACTTTAAAAAAATATATGCAATTTCATTCACGTCCTACAAATGTAAAATACAACGCATAATCACGTACTTATTAAACAATGCGAATAATTTAAAGATAACTAATGTTTGTTTGTTCGTTTGTTTTTGAATTTCGCGCAAAGCTACACGAGGGCTATCTGCGCTAGCCGTCCCTAATTTAGCAGTGAAAGACTAGAGGGAAGGCAGCTAGTCATCACCACCCACCGCTAACTCTTGGGCTACTCTTTTACCAACGAATAGTGGGATTGACCGTCACATTATAACGCCCCCACGGCTGAAAGGGCGAGCATGTTTGGTGGGACGGGGATTCTAATCCGTGACCCGCAGATTGCGAGTCGAGCGCCCAAACCACCTGGCCATGCCGGGCCAATAACTAATGTAACAGGATAGAAACGAACTTTAAGCAAAAGAGTCTTAAAGTCTGAGATATTTCAAATTATACGTTTGCTGCATATTCGATATATATGTCGTGACGTCACCCTGATGACCCTGGTTCGATTTTCATGTACTAAAAATCACAAGTGGCCAAATTTTGAAAGTCGAGAATAAAACTTCAGACACACATACGTATAAATGCACATGTTCATAATGTACATTTATATCTAGCAGCATCATACATTATAATTTCCCTGACAGCACCAGTAGTAATTGTTTCCGGTTCAGTTCACTCGATGAACTGAACCTTTAAAGGTCACTTGTCTCTTTGTCTCTCTTCTTTTTTTTTTCTTTTTTTTTTTTTTTTTTTTTTTTTTTTTTTTTTTTTTTTTTTT